CAACAACAGTATTTATAATCACCAAAACATGAAAACAACCCAAATGTCCATCAACTGACAATGGATAAATAAAATGTGGTCTATGCATAAAATGTAATATTATTTGCAATAAAAAACAAAAGAGTGATATATGACACATTGAAAACTGTATGGTAATGAAATTGGTCAGTCACAAAGGACCACATATGGTATGATTCCACTTATATGAAATGTCCAGAACAGGCAAATATACAGAGACAGAATGTAGAATAGTTACTGCTTAGAGTGGGTATGGGTAGGAGTGGAGAGGAAGGGGCAGGGACTGCTAATGTTCTAAATTTGACTCTGATGATGGTAGATGTTAACTAGACACTGTAGTGATCATTTCACAATATATACAAATACCAAATCATTATGTTGTGTATTTGAAAGTAATATAATGCTAAAATGTCAATTATACCTCAATTTAAAAAATTTAAATTTAACTGTGGCGATGATGGCTGCACAACTTTGTGAATATAGTAAAAACCACTGAATTATACACTTTCAAATGGGTGGATTAAACAGCATATAAACTATGCCGCAATAAAGCTGTTAATTTAAAAAAAATAATGGAGCCATCTCCAATATGGAAAAATGATACCTCACCGGAAATAATGTCAAGCAAAGACAAGTGGGCCTTCTGTCGGAGATGTTATTATAAAAGATGGGCTCACAAAGATACATAGGTAGTGAAAAGAAGGGGCACATGCACCCCAACATTCATAGCAGCAATGTCCACAACAGCCAAACTGCAGAAGGAGCTGAGATGCCCTTCAACAGATGAATGGATAAAGAAGATGTGGTTCATATATACAATGGAATATTACTCAGCCATCAGAAACGATGAATAACCACCATTTGCATCAACATGGATGGAACTGGAGGAGATTATGCTAAGTGAAATAAGTCAAGCAGAGAAAGACAATTATCATATGGTTTCACTCATATGTGGAATATAAGGAATAGCATGGAGGACATTAGGAGAAGGAAGGGAAAAATGAAGGGGTGGAAATCGGAGGGGGAGACGAACCATGAGAGACTATGGACTATGGGAAACAAACTGAGGGTTTCAGAGGGGAGGGGAGTGGGGAATGGGTTAGCCCGGTGATGGGTATTAAGGAGGGCACGTACTGCATGAGCACTGGGTGTTACACGCAAACAACGGATCATGGAACACTACATCAAAAACTAATGATGTACAGTATGGTAACTAACTTAACATAATAAAATAAAATAAATAAATAAATAAAAGTGAAAAAATGTGAAAAAAAAGATGGGTTCAATTAGTGATTTTTTTTTTTTTAAGATTTTATTTATTTATTTGACACAGAGAGAGAGAACACAAGCAGGGGGAGTGGGAGAGGGAGAAGCAGGCTCCCCACTGAGCAGGGAGCCTGATGTGGGGCTCGATCCCAGGCTCGGGGATCATGACCGGAGCTGAAGGCAGATGCTTAACCGACTGAGCCACCCAGGTGCCCCAATTAGTGATTCTCAATATCAGTTCACAGACTAATACATAGAAATGGCCCAGAGAATTTAATGACTCTTCAGCTCCATAACAGGTCTAATTCAGATTCCAGTGGGATCCAAGAATCTGGGGTTTTTGGGGTTTTTTTTAAGATTTTATTTATTTATTTGAGAGAGAGAGAGGGAGAAGGAGAGCAGACTTCCTGCTGAGCAGAGAGCCCAATGAAGGGCTCGATCCCAGGATCCCGAGATCATGACCTGAGCTGAAGGCAGACGCTTAACTGACCAAGCCCCTATGAAGGTGCCCCAAGAATCTGTATTTTTAACAGGCTTCCTAAATTATTCTGATGAATAGTCAGAAATAGGAACCACTGGACAACTACGATTATAACTCAATGATTTTATGATTCTCCGGTATCTATGATATACCCATCTCTGGTATCCATCTTGTATTCATCTGGATCTGGTATCTCCACCTAGTATTTTCTATTCATCTGAGGATCTTAAAGTTCTTAATGAAACTCATCTTTGTGAATGAAGAGCTTGAGTTTAGAAAGAGGTGGCCTCGGGGCGCCTGGGTGGCTCAGTTGGTTAAGCAACTGCCTTCGGCTCAGGTCATGATCCTGGAGTCCCGGGATCGAGTCCCACATCGGGCTTCCTGCTCTGAAAGGAGTCTGCTTCTCCCTCTGACCCTCCTCTCTCTCATGCTCTCTGTCTCTCATTCTCTCTCTCTCAAAATAAAAAAAAAAAAAAATAGGAAGAGGTGGCCTCATCTGATGGATTAGAGCACCTCACGTATTTTTGTTAACCCGTATCCTTTAAGTTACTTCAAATCCTTTTCAAGAAAGAAGCTGGTTTAAATAAATTGAATAAATAAAAGATCACATATATTCTCAAAAATTGTATTTCTCAAACTGACACATTTTTTTCTCAAATATTTATAACTTGATATACTTTTAATTAAAAAGCACAGGTATATTATAGAACCAAATGCAAAATAATTTTTATTAATTTTTAAGATAAAACCCAGAAGAGTCAAGGAAATTCCATATTTGCCATAGCAACTACTTTGGACTACGGACTACGCTCCCAGAATCTAAGGGTACATATTCATTCCCTCCTGCAGTTAGTACTTCAGGCAGGAAATCCAAAAAATCTAGACATTCTGCTCTCTACTCCATGGGTGATGAAACATGGAATCCCTCCTTCATTCAGAACCAAAATGGACTAATCAGGTTATTAGTGAAAGTGCTCTGTGCATTTCAGGAAGGAAAGAAAAAAGGCTGAACTGAATTGAAGAACTAAACCATAGCCTGTTAACTGCTGAGGGAAAACTCCTTCGGAGGCATGCTATGCTCAGAGAAACATCTGCAGACGTGTATCCTGTCCTAATGTTTTAGCCAGATGACAATGAGCATCAAGGGCACCTCTAGGGCTGGGAGGACCTCACCAGCTGGTGGAGGGTGTACCCTGGTTGCTTTACTAAGCTTGCCCAAACCACTGGTCTACGGAGAAGTACTAGGTAGCCTAGCTGAGTGCTCAGACTGACTACAGCTAAAGAGGAAGTATTCCCCTAGATTGGTAATCTTTCTCTTAGATACAGTGTTTTGGTGTTTTTGTTTTGTTTTGTTTTTTGGCTGTCCCTCTTCAGCTAATCCCAAAAACATCTGCGGAAATTTCTCTCAGGGACTAAATATCAGAAGAGTAGAGTTATAACATCAACTCTGGCACAATTATATAATTCTAGGTCAATTTTCTCAATACTAAAATAGAAAAGTGGAATAAGCTGAACCTCAAAGTCCTTTTTTGGCTTTTAAATTCTATGCTCTCACAATACTTATCACCATTGAAAACGTGCCTTGCAAATTTTAAAGGCAATTCCAAAAAAAAAAAAAGAAGTTGTAAATACATTTCTTATCCTTTCCTTCATGGTATTCCTCTTCTTGTGTCATCCTAGCTCAAAGCCCCTTCCTTCTCCCTCCCCCGGATTTTTGCAACAGTCCTCAATTCCGGTCCTCAATCTTTCTTTAATTCATGATGTTGACCACATTGCTGTGACACGATTCTCCAATTATCATCTCTTTCTGTGGCTCTTAACCTAGAATTCAATGTTCTTCACAATCTTAGTCCAATTTCCCTTTCTAACCTTTCCTAGCCCTTCCTTATATTAACTTACACTTCAGCAAACTTGTCAGTACCTTCTTCTGTAATATATTACACATTTCATTTGTTTCTGTCACTCCCCCCCCTTGAAATTTTCTCTGCCATACTCCCCACTTGGGCTCCATTCTTCAAGAATGAGTCCAAGTCTCACCTCTACAACAGAGCCTTTTCTGACAACTTTCTTTAAATTCCTGGAGCACTTAGCCTATAACACATCTTTGGCATTTAGCAAATGCTACCCTCCACTGACGTCTTTACCACAGAAGAGGTCTGTAGAGATATTTCCGCCTCATTTTCTCCAGGTAAGCCCCTCAGCTTCAATATGGGGTGAATATGTAACACACAGCATCTAAAGGAACCATGCTTAAACTATAAATTTTTAAAAATCAACTAACAGTTTGAGCGTAATTATTAGAAATTTTGCAACAAACCCATCCTACTCTTGCCAATTGCATTTTTACAGCTGTGTTCTGAAATTTAAGATCATTCTTTAGGTTTGGGTTGATACTTCCTGTTTAACACTTCCCTTTTTAAAAAGGGAGGGGGGGCAAGATTTGCCAGTAAGTCATCAAAATTTTTAATTACAAAACTCTGAGACCAAAAAAACAAAACAAAGAACATAGTTTTGAACTATAGGATAGGCATCATAGCAAAATTGAACTTGAGAAGGGAAATAAAGAGACATTTTGTCTGGTCAGACCTTTTAAACAACATGGCACATGTTTTTTCTCCACCAGCAATGTGAAACACACAATTTTTTATGTAAACCACATGTGCTCTGACGAGTACCACCACTCCTTTCCCTGCTTTAACCCCAGAAACATGTTACTTTAACTACAAAGTTTTTGGTTTTGCTTAATAAAGAACAACTTAATCTGGTCTTTAACCTTCTGATAATAATACTGAGATAATATGGACACAAGTCCACATTTGCCACTTCCACTTCTACACAAAAAAGGCCTCTTTTCAAGAGCCAAAAAACACTCCCCTAACAAACTCTGTGATGAAGTGTCAGTAAACATTAGAAAAATGATCGCAGGCATGTATTAAATTAAAATAAAGAAATGTCTTCAACATGTCTCTTTAAGCTAAAGTAAAAATATTTTAACCAATATGCTAGAGATTTTAATTCAAAATAGTCTGAAAGTAAAACTGCAATTGAAAAAAAAAATCTTTTCTTTAAACTGTTTTGGCACATGAAGAGCTATACTGATTTCAGAGGACAGAGAAAAAAGGGGTGGAAAAAACCCCACATGTTTGGCAAACTTATCTGTCAAGCAATTGTCAAAAGCCAATTTTATTTTTCTTCAACAAATAAAGATCATCCGAAACGAGCGTGCAGTACTCACATGCAGAGCCGAGGGATCTGGCAGGAATTCAGCATCTTCTCCAAAGATGAAATCAGGGGGCAGCTCTGGGTATTGGGCATTGAAAATGATATCCCCTGAAAGAAAAGAAAACATCAGGCCCTTATTATTTCCTTGCTAATTTATGAATGTTTTGAGGCATGCATCAGAAACACTTCTAAAAGAAGTTTATATTAGTTTAACAAAAAAAAATTTGAAAAGTGCTCTCTGAATGATTAATTCCTCAAATGAAAGAACTGATACCATCTTTTAAATTAATATCCACAGGAGCACCTGCGTGGCTCAGTCGGTTAAGCATCCGACTCTTGATTTCGACTCAGATCGTGGCCTCAAGGTCATGAGATTGAGCCCCCACCCATAGGGCTCCACACTGGGTGTGGAGTCTGCTTGGTATTCTTTGCCCCTCCACTTCTCCCTCCACTTCTGCTGTCCCCCTTCTTTCATGCTCTCTCTCTCTAAAATGAATAAATGAAATCTTAATTAAAAGCAAAATAAATATCCACAACATGCAATCAAAAAAGTTTTATCTCCCTACCACACTATAAATATAAATACCCACGTAGAAAAGCAGCCACATCCAAAGTACGTGTGGATTTTTCTATAGGAAATATGACTGTTCAATCACTGCCCACTAATTAATAAACCTTTACTGGGAACTATTTCTCTAAAGATAAAGACCTTATCTTGAAGAAATTAAAAAATTAAACATACAAACCTCTGGTATAATGGAAAGAATATTTGGTTTGGAGTCAAAAAAAAAAGTCAGGTTTACATCCACAATTATTTATTAGCTCAACTCATCTTGGGCAAATTTTAACTTCTTTAGACTTCAGTTTCTTCATCAGTAAAAGAGGATCTAATAGTAGTGATATCACAGATTTGATGTGAGGATAAATAAAGATAGCATGCCTATCACGTGTCTGGCACACTAAGCACTTAGTAAGTGATATGGGAGTACTACTAGTCATTACTAACACCATCTTGAAACACAAGACAAATTACAAAGTCTCCTTAGCAAATTTGTGTTGTTAAGTTCTTCCACCGCTGTTCCTTTCCTGTCTCCTTCTTTAGCTTTTTTTTTTCCCTCTGCTCTCCCCAAGAACCAGTACTCATCATTCTGCTAATACCAACCAGCAGCTTAGTATATCAACAAACACACATATTGGGTTCTAGCGTGTAACAGTATGTACGCGTGTGTACATGCACAACAATTCTATCAGTCCAATCATTTTTCCTGCTCAAACAGTATCTTCATAGTGATATCCAAATTGATACACTCAGACTTCAGTTCTCATCTGAGCCTTTCTTCCTCCAACTACATACTATGTATTTCAATGTTAAACTCAGCAAATCTAAAAACATGCTCATGACTGTCCCTTTTCCCACTCCTCTCTTCCCCTAGCTGATTTCCCTATTTCTAGGGATTCCTTAATCTCCCATGCTGTGACTTTAGTGTCCTCTTTGACCTTACTCACATCCTTTATACTCTTAGAAAACAAGTCATCTCAGTTCTTCCACCAAAATGTTTCTCATAAGGGTACTTCCCACTGCTAACAGCTCTATCCAGGCCCAGATGACCTAGTTCATACATTCATGCATCCAAGGAAAAAGAAACTGAACCCTCGCTAGCCACTATGCTAGCCACTAAAGAGCAAAGAAAAAATTCTGTTAAGAGTTGACAGACTAGAAGAATTCAATTATTATTGTACCCTTTTAAATGGTCTCCTGATACAAGTTTCCCTCCAGCCCATGATATGTACTATCACCAAGTAAATGTTCTTAAAGTACAACTTTGCCCCAAAACTTTCTAGCTCAAAAAATGCCATGATTCGCTAATGTCAAATGGAATAAGGGCAAACCTTTCAAACTAGCATTTAAGGCCTCTGAAATATGATGTTCCTACTTATTTGTTCACCCTTCTATCTACAAGCCAATACCAACTTTCTCTTCTAGTCGATATGACCCACTCACTGCCTCCAAACTATGACACCTACTTGAAATACCCTTTCCCCTTGCTCAGGTCTTACCTATCTTTGATGAGTCCACTTAATTACCTTGTTTTGCATGAAGACTTTCCTAATAAATCCAGTACACACTGATCATCATTACCTCTGACATTCAACAATACTGACTGGCTATGCCATGCACTTGAGTATTTCGTTGTAGCATTATATTGTTTTTCCTGTTCTATTAATTTCAAAAATTCATAACAAACACACACTATACGTGAGGCACTGTGATACACATTGTGTCGATACAAAGATGGTTCTCCTCGAGGACTTACATTTAGTTAGGGAGACAGGAACATAAACACAGAACCACAAATACGGAGCAGGACAAGGTAAGTACACATACTTGATCTTCCTAAATATCTTGCAAACATCCAGAGAATAAACATGCTTATACTTATTTCATATTTCCAATGGGGCAAAGTGTGACATACAGAATATATTCAAGAAAGGCTCTAATATGTGAGAAAACTCTACTCTCTGAATTGGATTTCTAAGTACTGACAAAAATCTACAATAAGGAATAAAGTTCAGAAGAGTTACTTCCACCTCTTTCTGTAGAGAATAAATATGAGCAAGAAAATATACCCTTCATATTTACCCAAAGAAAACAAAAACACTACTTCAAAAAGATACATGCACCCCTATTTTTACTGCAGCATTATTTACAATAGCCAAGACATGGAAGCAACCCAAGTGCCCATGGATAGATGAATGGATAAAGAAGATGTAGTATATACACACTATGGGTTATTACTCAGCCATAAAAAAGAATGAGATCTTGCCATTTGCAGTAACATGGATAGACCTAGAGGGTATTATGCTAAGTGAAATAAGTCAGTCAAAGAAAGACAAATACCATATGATTTCACTCATGTGTGGAATTTAAGAAACAAAACAAAGAAAAAAAGAGACAAAAAACATTTTTAAATACAGAGAACAAACTGGCAGTTACCAGAGGGGTGGTAGGTGGGGAAATGGGGGAAACAGATAAAGGAGATTAAGAGTACACTTATCTTGATGAGCACTGAGAAATGTATAGAACTGCTGAATCATTATATTGTACACCTGAAACTAATATAACACTGTATGCTAATTACACTTGAATCTAAAAAAGGAAAAAATATATACCTTTCAGAAGTTGGATGTAGAAATAAACCACATCAAAAACTAATGATGGGACGCCTGGGTGGCTCAGTTGGTTAAGCGACTGCCTTCAGCTCAGGTCATGATCCTGGAGTCCCAGGATCGAGTCCCGCGTCGGGCTCCCTGCTC